GGGACCCGGGGGGGGGGGGAGTAGGGAGGGTGGGTGCCGCTGTCCCGGGGCAGGGATCCGCTTCCCGCAGCCGTCCCGCCCCGGGGAGGGGGCAGCGGCCGCTCCGGCCACACCTGTGCGGCGGCGGAGGAGGAGGAGGAGGAGGCTGCGGACGGAGGGAGGTCCGTCCGTCCGTCCGTACAGACGGGTCGGGGCCCGGCGGCACCATGACGGTGGGGGCGCGGTGGGGCGCCAAGGCGACGGGCAGGTTCTCCCGCCGCCCGCCCGGCGACGACCAGGTCTCCATCCTGCCCGACGAGGAGGAGGAGGAGGCGGCGGCGGCGGCGGCGGGCAGCGCGGGAGCCCCGCGGCCAGCGGCGCTGAAGAAGAAGGAGGACAAGGAGAAGGAGAAAGAGGAGGAGGAGGAAGGCTCCGGCTGCAGGAAGGTGCGCTTCGCCCTCCTGCCGGACTCCTACGAGCCTCTGCGGCCGCCGCGGGCCGCCGGTAAACGGCCCTACGGGAAGAGGCTGAAGAAGTACGGCAAGGTGAGGAGGGGGAGAGCCGCCGACCCCGGGGCAGCCGGTGCGGGGACCCCCTGGGCCCGGGGCGGGTGGCGCCGGCTTTTCCGGGGGGGCTCTCTCGCAAGTCCCCCCGGTCGGTCCCTCCGGGCGTCCCAGGCGCCGGTGCCGGGGGGGCCGGTAGCCGCTGGCTTGCGCTTGCCCCCGGCTGGGGCAGGAGCGGCACCCACCCTCGCCTGGATCAAAGGGCAGAAAATCGGCCGTTTGGGAGCGAAAACGGCAGTAAGCTGATCCATGTGACGGGCACTTTGCCTTCCTTTGTTCGGCGTTTCCCTCGGCGTCATTGTTTTGACACCGGTCCTTAAAACTTCCAGTTAATTAGCCTGCTTTTCTTTTTTTTTTTTTTTCCTTAATTGTTCTATATAGGTGACCGAAAGAAAGGGCAATAACACCTCCGCAGGGCGCTCATTTGTAATTTACCTTCTAGGTGTCGCCTCAAAATCACTGGTATGAGTTAAAGTTAAAAAAAAAAAAAAAAAGAGGCAATACATTCTTCATTGTGTAACTGCTATTTTGGCTCAAAATTGTTCTTTTGCTTTCCTGTGTGGAAAGTCACAAGTCCTGCAGTCTGCTGGTTTATTTCTTCCCCCCTCCCCCGAGAGGGTGGGTGGTGCCTTCGCTTACAAAAGTGCTATTTGGAAGAATTCGCTTATTTTTCTCATGTTCATGTCACTTAAATACAGGGCAGATATGTCCTGTAGAAAAAACCAAAACAACAACAGGAAAAAAAAAAAGGTTCTCTGTTGGCAGGAAAAACCTGTTGGTGCCTGGAACCTTTTCCTGGTGGAGAGATTACAGATGTCCATAGGAGACCTGGCTTTCTACTGCATTCTTTAAAAAATGATGATTTTGGTAAAGATATGCTTGCTATGCCTGACATGCAGCAAATGCCAGTTAGCTTGGCAAAGTTACTTCTGAAATTGAAAGAGTTTACAGATGATAAAGTAGTCATGAGCGGCCTCACAAATACCACTGTTTCATAAAAGAGATGAATAGAATATTTCATTTTTTCCTGGTGGGTTTGATACTTGGAGTTCCCCGGGCTGGGGTTTCCAGCCGGCAGGAACATGTGTGGCACGGAGCAGCCCTGGCTGGATCCACAGGATTCTGTGAGGGGGGCTGTGGGGCAGCAGTCCCTCCCATGGCTGCTGTGCTGTCCCTGCATCTCGATGTTCCTCTCCTCCTCCGCTGTCCCCGGGCTTCACCTGACTTTTTATCTCTCCATCCTGACTCCCTCCGAGTGAGTTTCCGTAGCAGTAAATCCAGCAAAACTCAGCTCGGCGGTGGCATCGTGACAGATGAGGGGTTTTGTGTGCCGGTACCACTGTAATCCAGCTTTCAGAAATCCTGGGGAATATAATCAATATTGACTGGATTTCACCAATTTTGTTATATTTAAAAATATATCCTATATGAAAATATAGTCAGTGATTTCCATATCACAAGGGATAATTCTGATCTAAGCCCCAAGCAACCCTAGGGTGTTACTCACAGCTGATTCTGATATCCCTCCCAAACTGACCACGTTGTATTGACTCCCCTGTCGTGACCAGCCTTATCAGCAAAAACAAGCAAGAGGGAAATTAAACTTAGATTAAGGTTTTTAGTTCAAATTTTGACAATTTACCTCTAATGCAGTACAGAGATGAGCTCTTAAATGTGTACAGATGTGAAAGTGGGTCAAAACAGTCTTATTTTGACCAAAAAAAAAAAATATTGTTTTGACAAAAAGCAATGAAGTTTCCATAGAAGTAATCTCAGTGATTTATTGCCTTCGTGTTCAGCTCCAGTTGCTTTTAAGAGTTATGAACATACTTAGAATGCGTGTGTGCGGGAAATACCTCTACAAAGGAGGTGTGAATTTAAACTAATTTTACTCTTGACTGGAAGCCCATGTAAAAGCCTGGCTTCCTGTGGAGGCTGCATCCGTTCCATTTAACTCTACGCTGTGGGTGTGTATTTCTATATAAAAATAGATGTTAAAATGTTGTTCCATGTTCGGGCCCCGATGAGCGGTGGGAGTAGTTCATTTTCGGGGTCGCTGACGTTGTCTATGGGAACAGTTTTCTGTGAAGGTATTGTCTATCACCTTCTGTATCCCTTTCCTCCCTCTCTCCCTGCAGAATGTCGGGAAAGCCCTGCAGAAGGGCTGCCGCTACTTGGTGGTGGGCCTGCAAGGACTGGCCACGGCGTACTCCGCTCCCTTCGGGGTGGCAGCCCAGGTGGCATCCTTCGTCCGCTAGCGCAGCTCCGGGACTCGCTGGGCAGGACACAGGACCCTCGCTGCTTTCTGAGGACTGGATCCGAGACCTGCATCCGAGGAACCACTTGGACCACCTGTCCCTGCCCTGGAGTGAGCGCTCTTCTCTGCAAAAACTCCCCGCGCTTTGTAAAATCCCATTGGGTTGAAGAGACGTGAGGGTGAGGAAATAATCTTCGGCTGATTGAGGTGAAGTTTGTTCTCAGACACGAGTCGGTTTTCTGAAGCTTTGGGCTGTGCATGGAAGGGAGCCAAGGAAGGACGGAAAAGCAAGTAGGTGAGGGAGAGAGTAGGGAAGTAGAGGATGGGGGCAGCTGGGGAGATCCCAGCCTGGCTGGTGAGAGGAGTCGTCAAAGCAGTGGAGGATACAGATAATGAAGGATCAGGAAAAGGTAGTCTTTGGTTTTCTGATGGTTTTTTGATGATGACTTTGGTTTTTTTCCCTGAGAAGGTTAAGATTATGAGTATACTCGAAAATGGACAGTGGTCTGAGAAGTGATGAGCTTTGTTGCATCAGTGTTGTTCATCTCAAAGACTGGAAATCATGGGCCTTTAAATCTTAAGACTGATGCAGAAATCCAGGAAGAATACGAGGTGTGGTTTGTCTTCTGATTTTGGGGCATTAAAGGTTCACTGTGATTAGTACTTTAAACTTTTCCTCTGCTGCTGTGAAAGCTGCCTGTACTTCTCTTACTGAGAACAGAATCTATATCTGAGAAAGCTGATGTTGGAAGCTGGGGCTGTAAGACCACCCGCTTCTGTGGTGGTCACCAGAAAAGAAAACGGATTACTAGCTGCATCTGAAAAAAACTACCTACAGTGTTTGGTATAAGAATGTACAACCGTTTTGTGGAAGAATGGGGCCACATAACCGCCAGCTCCACCTTCATTCTGTAGGTGGAAGTTGTAGCTACAGAATGCCAGCATGAGACGCTCAGCGTGATGGGGCGGATGGAGCAGCTTCTGTGTCACACCTCCAGGGACAGAAGTCTTGCACTGGTGACACAGGAACAAGGAGGGTTAAGGTCCTTCAAAATTCTGAGGGGTTTGATTTTTATTTTTTCTTCTATCGGTCTTTCATGATAGCAGTAAAAGTTGTCCCTGCTGGCACTTTCTCTGTATTATAGCCCTTTCTAGTTTTGATAGTGGTTTTGTAATCAAGGACTTGACTTATCTGTAAAAAAAGGCTGATCATTTGCTTTTTTTGTCTTTATTGAGCGAAGAGGTTTGCATGTGTTAGCAAACCACGCTGTATTTCTTTTAAATGTAGCAAATGAAACAAAGGTGGGTTTTTTTTTTTTAATGCTCTTTTCTAACTGGACTGTAAATAAAAGTGATGTGATCCATGTCTGGTGGTTACCTGCAGAGGTGGTGTCTCTCAGCGGTGCCCAGGCAGCCAGGGAAGCTGCAGTGAACTCCCCTGTGCTGCTCTGCCTGGGGCCTCAAGACTCCTGGAAAGAGGTGGTTGTAGCCCAGACTCCCTGGAAACACTAAGGAAAGGTCAGGGGTGGAGGTGAGGCTGCAGAGAAGGATCTCGGGGGGCTGCAGGAGCTGGGGTAGGAACAGCCACAGAAGGATTCCACCTGTGGATTTTGTGCCTTTAGTTGTTTCCCTTGAGCTTTCCTACAGGGACAGACCTGCCCCACCAGCGCACCAGAGGGTGTTCCTAACTCTTGTGTCTTCTGCACTAAGGGCTGTCCTAACACCTGCACACCATGCCAGCTTGAGTATCTTGGGATTAGCTTCACATTTTGTTACACCACTCTGTGTTTTAGTGTGAATCGTTAGAGTTTGGTTGGTTTTTTTTAAATACTAAAGCAATGCAGGGGGCGGTTGGGTCTCCATTTTTGTATGTGAAATGAGAGTCCATCTGCTTGTCCACGTGTCCTCTGAGTAGCCGGGCTGCTCCCTCGTTGGAACACCCGGGGTTCAGCCCATCTGGTGCACGGACCTGCCGTGAAGGTAAACATGAACTTCAGGTTGTGAACCGCTCAGCACAAGGGTCACCACTGACTTCTGCTCACCTGGGGCACCGTTGCGGGAGCAGCCTGGCTGCTGCCCACACAGAACCCAAACGGTGCCTAAATACTGTTTCTGTGTGAGCCTGAGAAAAGAAAAGCTTGATGCATGTTGGCAAGTCCGCTCCTGCCGAGCGGTGTTTCTAAACTAGACCGAAAACAAAGAAATAAAGAAGAAAAAGTAAGCAAGTGGCCTGTGCTGTTGCTATAAACCAGCCGGTGATTCATGCCAGCCTGTCCTCCTTCCTCAGAATGAGCTGACGGTTCCCACTGAGACTACCAATTAGTGCTGCTTATCAGTGCTCCGTGAGCAGTAATTCCCTCCTTGGCTGGTGGAGCCAGTTCCTGAGGCTGAGCCCTGGCCTGAGGGTTTGCATCGCTCTTCATCAGCGTGGAGGGAATCCGGACCTGTGGGTGAGGTTCATTTCCCAGCAGGGTGGACATCGGATGGCAGAAGCTCCTGTCAATGATGACAGTGTCCCTGCTGTGCCGGGTTTGTGATGCAAACAGTGAGAGAGGGCAGATCTGGCAGTCTTGTTGCTAGATGTTGTCTCAGTGATGTGAGAGACAAGAGGAGATACTCCCCAGGCTTGCTTGGCATCGAGTGACAGCTCACCCTGCCCAGCCAACCAGAGGTGACCACCTCTGTCCAAAGCAAGGCCGCTGTGCTGGAAATTCTGCAAGTGGCTAGGGGGAGAGCAAGCCGTTGGTGACGGTGAGGAGGCTGGGCTTTGGGGACAACTGTGACCCCAACGGCATGACAAGCCAGAAGGGATGGACTCTTGGCTTCTGTGTGGGCTTTACAAGCTCTTGGCCAGGCTTTTGGAGGAGTCAGACACAGAATCACATGGGGTTGGAAGGGACCTCTGGAGATCATCTAGTCCAACCCCCCTGCCAAAGCAGGTCCACCTAGAGCAGGTTGCACAGGAATGTGTCCAGGCGGGTATTGAATGTCTCCAGAGGAGACTCCACCACCTCCCTGGGCAGCCTATTCCAGTGCTCTCCCACCCTCAAAGTAAAGAAGTTCCTCCTCATGTTTATGTGGAACTTCTTATATTCCAGTTTGTCACCTTGGCGGGGAGAGCTTTTGGCCCACGGATGCAGGCAGGCTTGTCGGCAGCTTGTTTCCAGGCTGCTTTTAGAAATAAACCGAGTGTTTGACCCTCTTGTTGACAAAGGCAGGATGTGGAGGATGTTGCTGCTGGATGAAATGTGTTCTTCCCTTCAGGCACTGCCTAGGCACCTCTGCCCACCACACCACCTCACAGGGTTTTGTTCTCAGTGGTCTGCTGCCATGCTGTCTGGTTCCCTTCACATTTCTACTTGCCTTTCACCATGTTTTATAACAAGCGGCAGGATAAATAAGTTCAGGAAGCTCAATACACACAAGAATGTCAAGAAGAAGTCAATTCAAGTTTCTCTCAGGAATGCACTCTGCTAACCTGACAGCCCAGCGAGTCGCTTTTACATTCAATCCCTGGCTGTTCCCAGTGCCTGACCAATGAGTCACGGAGCAAAATAAAGCTTATTTCTGCTGTTTTTTCCCAGAAGATGTAATTGCTACTCTAGCTCGCTGTAGGCTCTAAGGAAATGGCGGAGGACTCGGGACTATTGTCCTTTGTCCTGCCACGTTAGCAGCAAGGCAGCGTCTGGAAGCGCTGTAAGGAAGGAGAGCTGTGCCACAACCAACCACCTCCCCTGGGTGCTACCAGGGCTCTGCCGGTCCCAGGCCAAGGTTCACTGCAGGGATGGGTGACCTTTCTGCCTGCTGCCTGGCTGTAAGACTGGCGAGGGGACATGTTTTGTGTTGGGGTGCTATAAAACCGGTTGTCTCTTTTTTTTTTTTTTCTGTATCCTGAGCCCCTTGTTAGCTTGGCACTGGCCTCTTCTGAGACAAAATTAGTCCTAAAATCTGTACCGAGTTGCTGCAGTTTCCTGTACACGGTCTGCTCTGGAAACCTTGTTTTCTTCAAGGGGCAGCAGAGAACCTAAAGAGCTTGTAGATTAATGGAGATAATTAAATTAAAAGAAAGCAATGGAAGCAAATTCTCCCTTTCTTTCTCCTTGCAGGAAGGAGCTATTGGGCTGCCAGGCTTGTTTCAAGGTGAAGTCTGGCCTGAGCTCAGAGAGAGTAGTGCTCCGTCCTGAAGCCTGTGTCATCTACGAGGAAAAGCTCAGGGCTCAGGGCTCATTCAGCTGGAGGAGGGAGGAAGACACAGGAGGAACCTCGCAGCCTTTCAATACCTAAGAAGGGGTTACCAACTAGATGGAGTCAGGCTCTTCACTGAGGTCCACAGCCAGACAGCAAGGGGCAATGATCATGAATTGAAACTAGGGAGTTTCCAGCTGGGTATAAGGCGAAAAAAAAATCAGTAATATGATAAGCATGAGAAGAGGTTGCTTCCGGAGGCTGGGGAGTCCCTGGAAGCTTTCAAGGTGTGACTGTACAACGTGCAGAGCAATCTGGTGTAAGTTCAGAGCTGACCCTGCTCTGTGAGCAGGAGGCTGGAGGAGAGACCTCCTGGGGCCCTTCCAGCCCAGGTGACTCGGAGTCTGTGAGTGGGACCCTGCCATGATAAGCAGAAAGCTTGTATTTACCTACTGTATGAAGGTGTAGAGGACAGGTATCCTCACCCCTGCCAAAAGCACAGATGCTAAGAATAAAGCTTTGCCTGTAATAAGGAGGAGCGACTGGTAAAGATGGAAGTGCAAGCTGCCCCCGGCAAGTTCTCGCTGAGTTCCACGGTGCTGGCTTAAAGGCAATTGTCCTTTAGTGCCATCTCCTGGGAAAAAAACAGATTTCCAGCCTTGTCAGCCTGCCTCGTTGTGCTGTCTCATCTCCAGCTGGGATTTCCTGCCCTCCCCTAGACTGGCCTCCTGGTTTGTCCAGACCTATCTTCAGGATGCTGGGTTCCAGCAGCGTAACGTGTCTCTGCGTATCGGTGTTCTCTGCCCTGCTGAACCCTGAGCCTCCTGTTTGCAAGGATTTAAAATGTAAAGCCATAGGAACATTGTTCTCATGATGTGTTTTTTTTCTTTCAACATCTAAAAATTCATCACAATTTGCCCCGAGGTTCTTTCTTTGCCTTAAAAACATTTATTAAGGATGCTTCACTGGAGGAAAGAGGATGAGCCGCAGCCACTTCTTGTTTCTGACTATCACCCTCCGCTGGAGAGGTGACTGCTGCTCAGGGCTGGATGTGTGATTACAAACACTGCGGGAGAGGAGGACGGTGGACTGGAATGACCTGCCAGGAGCTGCCTTGCACCCCAGCTCCACACGCTGTCAGAATCTGCCTCCTGGAGCTTTTTCTGTTCCCCTGTCTCTACAGCCCGTGCAGCAACCCCTGCTCTGTCCTTTCCTGGGACACTGAACTGACATCAGACGGCTTTTCCAGCTGCGCCTGAGGGAGGGTGGGGACTTTCCTGTCCCTGGTGAATCCCATCCTCCCCCGCATTTATGATTCTCTGTGTAGGAAAAGCCTCACACAAAAAAAAGATCCCTATATCTCATTGCTCTGAGTCCATTAAAAGGCATCTATCATTAATGACTTTATTTTTAATTCTACCATCGCAAATTATCCGCCTGAGATTTTTCCCTACATGAATTTCTCTGAGCTCATTTCTAGTGCATGACTCACTGAACTCTGATTTCCTTGAAGATTATAAGAGGAAACAGCAATGCTTTTATCCTCCCCGCCTCTCTATAAAGGAATTTTTTGAATTTATTGTTTGTTCCGAGTTTGGAAGAAGGATCTAATTTGTGTGTGTGAGTGTAATACAATTTTTATCATATCTGGCTGCAATCAGCATAGGATGACTGCACACTTGGCCGTGTCATCCCCTCAGCCCTGCCTTTTGCTGAACTACCGGAGAGTCACTGGAAAAATAGCTGGCACGTCCCTGGTGTGGGCATTTAACTCCTGTTCCTTCACTAGGACAAGCCCAGTCTGCATTGAGCTCTGTCCTGACACCCTGTCACCTAATCCAGGCAGCTTTTTGCTGTCTTTCTGCCAAGGATTTTTGTTTTTTTTTTTGTAATGCCCTTCCAAATCACCCCCTTGGTGCAGTATTTTATGCCCATGCTTTTTTAAAAACTTGTGGCCAGTATAAATATTAACATTTTTTAACATTTATTGGATTTGATGCATTGCTTTCATTGTTTGATTCCAAATTACAGCACTCTGCATGTAACTGAAGACCTACAAGATCCCCACACACTTGTCTTTTTTTTCAGTGGAAACAAGTACAATTCTTTAAATCTTTCCTCATCATTCACTTTTCTTTGTCCTCTGCTTGATCTGTTGCTACAAGAGTCTAGGATTGTCTCTAGAAGAATTATCTCCAATTGCCCACTGCATCTGAAGGCAGATACGCCATTGCTTTTTCCATAAAATCTGTTCCACCAGGAAATTTGTCACAGGGTCGCTTCTGAGCTGACACCTTGCTTTTCCGAGGTGCACCAACATCACCCACTTCCATGGCTGAGCGAACCTGGCCTCTGTTTGCCATGGGATTGACGCTGCAAATCCTCCCCCTGAGCAGACACGTTTTAAGCAGCCTGAGGGCGGAGAATTCCAGCACAACTGTCCCAAAGTTTGATGAAGTGAGAAGCAATTGAAAACACGGTCATTTACTTTTAAGTGCAGGTTTGCCGTGCCTGCTCTGGCTACAGCAAATGCACTCCTGCTGCACAAGAGGTTGTAGGAAAAGCAGTCCCTAGTTTTGTCCGAACGGCTCTGTTCCCATGGCTTTACAGCAGAAGGGGTTGGTGGCCCGCGGGCCAGCAAGGCTGTGGCTGGGTTGGAGGATTAAACAAACCTGCTGTTTGCTGGAGGCTTTTTGAGAGGTGTCTGGTGTACAGGCGAAGGGGGCTTTTCTCAAAAAGGCTGCAGCCTGGAAACATTAAGCCACAGCCATGCTTTCTGCAGCTATTTCTAATTTTACATACCTTGTATCACAGCGGGAGAGGAGAGACTATGCAGATGCTGCCGCCTTCTGTTACTCCTCTCTAAGCTCCTTCACACCACAGCGTGTTCAGGGCTGAACGTAACAGCTGCTTTTCGGGGCTGGCCAGAACAAAATCTTAGGCTGGCAGATTTTGGGAATAAAAGTTTACGGTCCTTGTTGGATTTAGAAATAACATTTTCTCTAAATTAATATGCAAACGTTAGCAAAGGTGAGATATTTCTGAATTTAGTTAACAAATCCTTCTAAATGAAAGACTCTGGTTTTGCACACCATTGTGCTGCCTATAATGTAGAACTAAGGAGTTACACCATCACACTATATAGGTCCATACGTCTCCAAATTCTCATGCTGGTTAAGTACAAATACACTCCAGACCTATTTTCTCTGGCACCTAGAATAAGGGAGCAAGCAGTACACCAACATTTTTTCCTCTTATTCCAAATCCTGTCATTTTGATGCTTGGTAGACCGAAGTTCAGAGGGCAAAACCTTCCTGCATTTTGTGATTTGCACAGCTACCAGTGCTCGAGAAATCACTGGGGATAGTTACTCATTTTTGCCTTAAGCTTGTGAAAATAAGCATCAGTGTTGGGCAGGAATGCCCATGCTTTTTAAAAAATTTGTGGCCAGCATAAATTTTTTTTTTTTCATTTCTTGCATTTGATGCATTGCTTTTATTGTGACATTCTAAGACCAGTTTGTGGTTTTGTGTTTTCACCCCATTAGTACTTATGTTAATTTGTTTTGATTCACCCTCGTCAGCACTGCTTATCAGACAGCACTTACTAATTAGAGAGTCATTGCAGTTCTGTTGAACGCTTGCTAATACATTAGATGCCTTGTTCCCCTTATAGCATTTTTCTGCTCCTGTGGGTGCAGTTGTAGATTAAAGATCTCTGTGTGAATGCAATTAAATTACAAAATGTTGACTCCATGTTAAATGAGAAGACTAATGATTATCAAAGAGCGCACAAGGTCTCTCAGTCTGCTCAGCAGGGCTGGCTCTCCTCTCATGTCTCGTGATTGCCACGCCACAGGCGCAAGACAGGTAACATCTTGTAAAAAACCCAATTTGCTCAGTAAAGTAGTGTAAGAAGGGGTTTCCGATGATATGGGAGGCAAACAGGTGGCAGACTGTCTCTGCACGTGCCTCCCAGAGTCCAACAGCAGCACAAGGCTCTGCTGATCAGTAATTAATCTCCAGAATGAACTGTGCTTGTTCCAGGGGCAAATTAAACAGTAAGTCCTGCTTAGGTCTCGAAACCCATGGATGCCATTAAGGCATGATTTAAACAGCAAAATGATGAACAAGGGGGCAAAGGGATTGCCCTCCTTCCTGCCCTTTCACAAAGCTAATGTTACCAGAGTCCTTCAGTCCCAAAATCAGTCAGTAAAATGAAAACAACAGGGAGCAACCTCCCAAGATGGCTGGGAGACCACTCAAGTGACACTGAGCATCTTGATGAGGAATGTAGATATTACCCTCTTCTGCACCACAGCTCCTATTAACGGCCCAGCACTGCTGCCTGTCCAGCAACTCCCCACCTGAAAGAAGCAGTCAGCAATGTACAACAAAATTAGGTTTATTTCCTTTCTCTTCTACAGCAATGACTGTGCCCCTGTGCTCCGGCGGAAGATGTCTGTCTCTTTGGTGCTACTTCCTTCATGCATTCATGCCCACAATCATACAGTGGACCTTTTGGTTGAGGGCTCCTCCATGGACTCCCTTCTTGCCCATCAGGAAGATCAGGGCTTCGGGGGTCTTGCCAATACAGATGGATCTGCTGTCACTGCCTTTGCTTCTGACATCCATCACGTTGTCTCCATCCACCAGCAGGTTGTCACGAATCACACTGCAGTTTTTGCCAGCAACAGTGATTCCCGTTAGCAGGAACGTTTTCCTATCCCAGCCTGTGATCAAGCCCACTTCTTGAAGCGAGATGGTTGCAAGGACACCTCCTGGCTTGGCCGCCCACAGGTGCTCATTGTCAGAGAGGCCCACGATAGCCACATCTTCAACGTTCCTGTCTGCCAGGATGCCGCTGAGGTAGTATGTCCAGTAATCCACCATGGCCGGGCTGCCTGAACCTCTCAGAAATGCCCAACACCGAGCTTCCCTGTCTCCTGCCTGCTGGGACTTGAATCTTGGCACAATGACCCTAAATATTTCAGTTTGTGAGCTTGACCTTCAGGCCTGAAGGGGGGAGTTGGGGGAAAGCAACTTGCTCTTGCGCTGAGGGGAAGACCGTGAGGGGAGACCCGTGAGGAGAGACCTGTGAGGATGGCAGCATCCACCGCTTTGGCCAGCTCTATGCTGTCATAGTTGCCTAGCAGCCAGGTGTCCCACAAAGCCACATCCCCACCACCCCAGGGGGGCTCTGGAGCAGCTCTCATGGGTTTTGGTACGGGAAGACGCCCCAAGGGCATGGGACCCCTCACCCCAGCCGTAGGCACGGCCATTTGCTGCCCCCCCCACACCAGCTCTTCACCTCCAGACACAGGTTTCCCCCTTTTTCACCCAAACGGCTGAATTTCACGTACTTATGTTCATATTTTTTCCTGCCACGTTGCTTTTCATTAAAGCCCAGATAGTAAAAAAAACAAACAAACAAGCGCTTGTCGCCTGTAGTTTGTGCTTGGACACTGAGAGCCCGCACTCAAACGTTCGCTGTCCCCGCCGTCACGGCAGCTCTTCCGTCCCCCCCGGCTCTGGCCCCC